GAAGGAAGGTTGGGCAATCCTACTTCTGTAGTGATACTGCCTCGGAAACCCAAGGAGGAGTCCAGGCACATAACAACAACAACAACAACATTTATTTGTATGGGAGCGCTGGTGGCATAGTGCCTGAGGCTCTTGACTACTAACCAGAAAGTTGGGCAGTCTACTTCCATAGAGATACTGCCTAGGATACACAAGGAGGGGTCGCTATGAGTCAGAGACAATTTGAGGGCACATAACAACAACAGCAACATCATTTATTTGAATAAATATTTACTTAATATCTCCAAGCCAGGCACTGACTAGGCACTGACTGGAGGAGATGCATTGGTCCTCTTCTTTAAGAGGTTATATTCTTTAGGAGGAGACAGAAAATTAAATAAAATTAAGTAAGCAGTAATTGTAATATATGCCATTATAGTGGTCACCCAGCAGGAATAGCTAACTTGTGCAAGAGTATAGGGGAAATGATGCCTAAAGAGTAAAAGGAGTGAAGTAGATGAAGGGGTTTGGTGGGAAAAGTAGTCTAAGCTGAGGGAACAGTATCCTTAATTGTTTAGAGAGAGAAATTATGCTGTATTTTAGGAACTTAAAGAAAATAAGTATGCCTGGAATTGAGAGTACTACCACAGTACTTTAGCCCTACTGATCACCTTTCTTTTTCAGTATGCTCAGCTCATTTGCATTTCATGACCTTTATGTCTTATATCCCTTCTTCCTGAAGCACTTTTTCCTTGGGTATTTGTGTAGCTTGTTATGGTTCTTTTTTCATTTCTCAGCTCACACATCACTTCCTTAGTAAGACCTTTCTGTGAAACTAGCCACCCTCTCTCCTACCTAGTTACTCTTCAGCACAGCTCTTATCTCACCCACCCTGTAATTGTTTATTTTTCTTTTTTGTCTCCCTTGTTAGAGTATAAGGGAGCTCTGGTGGCGTAGTGCCTAAGGCACTCGACTGCTAACCAGAAGGCTGGCGTTTTAAACACACCAGCCATTCCTTGGAAGGAAGGTTGGGTAATCTATTTCTGTAGTGATACCTCCTCAGAAACCCAAGGAGGGGTTGCTATGGGTTGGGTCCGACTAGACGGCAGAGTGTTTGGTTTGGTTTGGTTAGAATATAAAGTTCATGAAGGCAGGGATTCTGTTTCTCTTGGTCATCTTATATTGACTACCAGGTATGTTTGGCTTATGTTAGATACTTAACACATATTTCTTTAAATCTTAAGTGATTGACAGGCAGAATAAGAACCACCAAAGAAGTTGTTAGACAATGTCAGGGAAAATAGAGAGAGAGAATAGTATCTTAAGAGGCCAAGAATTTTTCATAAGGAAGGAGTAGTCAGAGTAGTAAGCTGTGTTGACTGTTGTTAAGATGGTTCATGCCAAACTTTTTATTAAGTTTATATGTAAATACTTTCCACCTTACAAATCTTTGAAATGTGCAAATTGATCCCTAATGGTATCTCAAAATTTTCAGCATCTCATGTACATTGTAGCAGTCTGAAATAGCACTGGAATTAAGTGTACCTAGAAGAGGATCTGGGAGCTCTTGTAGCATAGTGCCTAAGGCACTTGACTGCTAACCAGAAGGCTGGTGGTTCAAACCCACCAGCCACTTCTCCGAAGGAAGATGGGGCAATCTACTTCCGTAGTGATACTGTCTTCGGAAACCCAAGGAGGGGTCGCTATGAGTCGGGTCTGACTCACGGCACATAACAACAACAACAGAAGAGGATCTAGTAGTTGATAGCTTTCAGAATTAGGAGGGCTTTTGACAACAAAAAATGTTAAGTTTTTATTTTATTTAGATACTAACTTTATTTAAATGTTAACGTTATTCAGGGTTACATATTAGAATAGATACATTGAAAATGAATTTGTTCTGTAAACTTTTACCCAAATCACAATAAAAATTGAAAAGAAAAAAAAAAGGATATAGAAGTGAATAAATTTATAGACAATTATGTTAGGCTCTCAGGTGGTAGGTACAACAGTAAGCACTTGGCTGCTAACCACAGGGTGGGTGGTTTGAACTTACCCAGTAGCTGTGTGGGAGAAAGACTTGGCAATTTGCTCTCATAAAGATTACAGTCTGGAAAACACTGCAGGCCAGTTCTCCTCTGTCTCATGCGGTCTTTTTTAGTTGAAATTGACTCAACAGCACTGAACAGCAACAACAACATAGCTAATTATTCAGTTTAAGAAAATTAAAATAATAAGATTAGTAATACTAGGTTTGTGTTAATTGATATTTGGACTAATTTCCCAGTAGTAGTTATATATTTCTTTAGTTGGGATTTTATTTACATGTATAATAATAATAATAATAATAATACCTCATTTTGATATATGCCGTTGGCCATTAATTCTAACTTGTGATGAATTCATATTTATAGGAGGGAAGAATTGATAACAACAAAACTTAATTTCATCTTGTTTATTAAGTGACCTTACTGTCTATGTATAGTGTTAACAGTATAAATTAATTATTTTAAGTGCACTTAATCAACATTCATTTATATTTTAGAATTTTTCCAAGAATATTTTTGCAATTCTTCAGTCTGTGAAAGCCAGAGAAGAAGGACGTGCACCTGAACAGAGACCAGCTCCAAATGCAGCACCTGTGGTAAGAGTGTTTAACTGCTTCTTACATAAAAAATAATTTCAGTAAAAGTACCACTTATATTTCAATGTTACAATTTTTAAGATATGTTAAAAATTTTTTAGATCACTATGTCCTAGACTTTTTTCTATTTCAACGTACGAAAAATTTGAAAACTCTTCCACTATTAAAAGTTGCTTGTTTCAGCAGTTATTTAACTTGAGACATGTTGTTGTCAGGTGCTGCTGAATTGGTTCCCATGCATAGCAACCCTACAGACAACAGAATGAAACACTGCCTGGTCCTGAACCATCCTCACAGTCATTGCTACTTTTGAGCCCATTGTTGAGCCATTGTGTTGTTCTGTCCTTTTGATGGTCTTCCTCATTTTTGTTGACCTTTACTTTATGAAGTGTGATGTACTTCTCCAGTGACTGATCCTTCCTGATAACATGTCCAAAGTAAATAAGACAAAGTCTTGCCATCCTCTCTTTTAAGGAGCATTCTGGCTGTATTTCATCCAAGACAGATTTGTTTGTTCTTCTGGCAGTCCATGGTATATTCAGTATTCTTTGCCAGCACCATAATTCAAAGGCAGCAATTCTTTTTTTTTTTTTTATTTATTGTGATTTCGGTGAAGATTTAGAGAGTGAATTCACTTTCCATACAGCAGTTCACATATACTTTGTCTCATGTAATTGACCACAGTTTACAATGCAACAGCTCCC